CACACCTGCATGGTAAGAACACACCTGCTGCCAGCCTCATCCTCTTTCCCCTCTTGGATCCTCCTCCTCCTTCTCTTCCTCCTTGTCCTCCTCCTCCACCTTCTTCTTTTAATTTTGAGACAGGATCTAGCCTTTAACTGGTGATCCTCCTTTCTTGGACTCCTGAGTTGCTGGGTTTATAGGCATGTGCCACCAATTCCAGCTAATTCTTTTATTTCTTGAGTTACTTTTTCTCCAAAAGCATATATTTCCCCCTTATATATTTTTAACTTTCACTTCTGCAATTTTCAAAAAGAGTTTGAAGCAAAACATAAATTCATAATTTAGTCACAAAACTCTAGCGTTTTTCTGATGATGGGGGCATAGTCTAAATGTTTTCTTTGAATGGAGAACTATTTTCTTTATAGGTATTTATATATCCTTCTTACAATTTAAAGTATCAGGAGTTACTTAATTATCATTTGTGGTGGTAAGAGAGAGAGTGAATATTATATACAAAATTGTGTAGAAAGAATAATAACTGATTAAATAACTGATATTACTGAATTTAATCACATTTTCTGATGAGAATAAGGCCATGGTAGCTTAAGTAATTTGTCCCATGTCCTCCAGGTGAAAATAAGAACTAGAATCCATATCCAGCTCTGAGTAACCCCCCTGACCCCCAAGCCCAGCCATACTCTTCCTCTTGTATTTTTCAATTCTACTGAAGCTTATCTGTGACCTCCATTTAAAAAATCTTCCTTGGGCTGGAAGTATAACTCCATGGTAGAGCATCTGCTCTGCATGTGTGAGACCCTGCGTTCCATCCTTTATGCCCACCTCCCCCACCCCACCCACACCCCACCCCCCTGCAAAAGTCCCTCCTGTGATACCAGTGTTGAGGACCAGGTTCAAGTCCTGTTCCCCTGCTGTTGAAGACTAAACAGCAGAGAAATACCCAGGCAAGTGCAAACAGTTTTATTTAAAGGATAGAACAGAGAGACAGACAGACAGAGCCACCTCTGCAGAGGCAGAAGAGGCATCCAAGTTGGTGCCCCAGGGAGTGGGATGTCCTGCCCCTTTTATATATTTCAAATTTCCTTTCTTCTCCTGTACCCTCCTCCTCTTATCAGATCTGAAAGTGAGAACAAAGCAGCCCAGGGCCACTGGAAGGAAAGGGGTTCAGGAGCAGCCCAGGGGTGTTCTTTAACTACTCTTTTCAGGGAGGAACAATTCCCTGGAGGAGGTAACCTTGCCAACAGGTGGGGAGGAGGGGAAGTATCCTGAAGGTATTAGCATTTTATCTCCCTGATCCCATCATTCATTGCTGTCTTTTTTCAGCCCTCCACCACTTGCTCCAGGCACTTGATACAGAGGGACAGAGTTAGCTGCCCTGGAAGAAAGCTGGTGCTGAATTTTGGTGTATTCCAAAGGATTCCTCCTGTAGAGTGGTTCTTTAAGCTGACAGGAGATGAGCTACACAGAAGGTCTGTTTGATATGGGATGTTTCATGTCCTTTGAATGTGATAGGGGACAAACAGATGAGAATGGTGGGAACAAAAGGTTAAGGGAATAATTCTATAAAATGGACCCACTTTACATGGGCCCACACAGGCTTTCTTTTCCGAGAAGCAATTTACCTGCAGCCCTGCCTGGCTTATGAGGATATGCCACATTCCTCAGCAAAGTACCTTCTATCTGCAGGAGAACAGGAGCCCCAAAATAACATGGATAAGAGAAACCAAAGTTACCTGCAGGGGAAAACTTTTGTGACCCTTTTCATAGACCAGATCCCAAAACTCAAATAGATAAGGGTAATTCCTCCTAGCCATAAAATCTAAGAATTTATCAAATCTGTAAATCTATAGTTAAGAATCCAATTAGAACTGGTTAGAATGGGCCAAAGTGACCTAAAGTTGTCATGGCAGTGGGTACTTGAAAGTTTGATGTCCTCCTGCTGTCAGTCAAAAGTCAAGAGGTGGACTTGGGCAGGATTCTCTGGAGTCACCAATAAAATTAGAGTACAGGATAGGCAAACTGTCCCTCTCTTCTCTGAGAGAACCCTCTCTACCTTGAGAGTGTCCCCTTCCCCTTTTCCTATCTCTTCAATAAACTCATTGCCTGTCACTCTGGGTGACATGTCTGAAATCTTTCTGACTTGGTTACAAGAATCAGGGTTTGAAGGTGGTTCTTTGACCTGTCTCATTTTCCCAGAAGGCCCCAGTCCTGTAACAAAAGGACCATTCTCTTGAGATTGCAATGTATATTTAGTAGAAAATAGGAAAAACAAACCGATTAAAATCTGAATCTTGGAAAATAGTCAATTAGAATTAGGATGTGAAATGTATTTTACCCATCATAGTAAAGTGCCGTTCCAGATTTTTCCTCTTTTTTTCTTTCCTTTGTACTGGGGATTGAACTCAGGGGCATTCTACCACTGAGCCCCCTCCCCAGCCCTTTTTATATTTTTATTTTGAGATAGGGTCTTGCTAAGTTTCTTAGAGTAACTTCTAAGTTTTTGTGGCTGGACCCAAACTTAGGATCCTCCTGCCTCAACTTCCCAATTCACTGGGATTATAGGTGGAGGATTTTTTTCTTTTTATCACTTTAGGTTTTTTGCAAACTTCACGTGATACTTTAGCAAAGGACAAAAATCCATCTTGCTAAAGAGAAGAAATGAGTAACATCTTGGATGACATATCTGAAGCTCCTGGCGCAGTGTGTGGTCTAAGTCTAGAACTAAATTAAGTATCAGTTCCTCTTTTGTTCCCTCAAGAGATGTGCAGTCAATAGAATTTTGAGGGAAGTTGCTAGTCTGAGTTCTGTGTATGTAAAAAGCCTGCAGTATTTTTAATGATGTGGTAGAATATTTAGTTGGGAAGGCCCTGAGAGATCATCTCTGGTTCTGATTGCTCTTTAACTAACATTAAAATCTGATCCGAAGGCTCAATTCATCAGAATTCTATTGACATGAGACTGAACAACAGGAAAATTTTTAAGAAAACCAATGGATGACGAAGATGTTTAAATAAACATGAAAATATTCAGAGGGCATCCATTACTTTTTTTTCCTTTTTCGTACTGAGGATTGAACTCAGGGGTGCTTTATAGCTGAGTTATATCCTCATCCCTTTTAATTTTTTAAAGTTTTTTATTTCAAGACACGTCTCACTAAATTACTGAGACTGGCCTCAAACTTGTATGCTTCCTCTCTCAGCCTCCCAAATCACTGGGATTACAGGTTTACACCACTGAGCCTGGCCTGTTCCTTTCATTCTCCATCATCTAATCTCTAGACCTGGATGGTAGTGACTATAGTCAGAAAGCACTGAAATCAGAAAACAAATCTAAGTTGCACTTACTAAGACAGGACTGGGAATTCATATTTTTAGAAAGTGTTCTAATGAGATTAAGCCTTGATTTACCAGAGAACTCAGTGAATCCAAATATGCTCTTTGGGACCTAGCATGCATTTCATCTGTACTCGGAGTCCAGTAAATGTGTGTTTATCCCCTAAGGATTGTGGTTAAGATTGCAGAAGTTCTCTAAGCCACTGCAATGTTTTCCGTCCTGCCTAGCATTCCCTCACTGCCTTTCTTCACCTTTCTTGCACGAAAAGAGATCTGGGGTGACAGGAAATGTGGCTGTTCATCTGACATCGCATGGCGTCTTCTTTATTTGCCCTTCATGTCTGCCACAGCCTCTGATGCTGGAACAGCTGAGTTACATTTTGTGAATGTTTTTATTTCACTGAAGACACACGTGATGGCAGTAGGCTTCTGATGATTTAAAGGTTTGATGGGTGCAGCTGTCTGGTAGCTCTTTGTCTTCCACAATCTTTTGCCTAGAAAAAGGAATTCTAATGTGTTTTAATCATGCTGACCAGCAAGGGTCAGGGATTCCTTCACTTGGGTTTGTGTCTCTGGTTGTGTATATTCATACCTTCCTTCAAAGGTAGGTTTTATTTCTGCTTATCTCCTATAACCTTTTAGCTTCGTGTATTTACTCTTTTTCTCGTTGTGCTTGAATAAGCAGATAGGAACGATTCTAGGTAAATATATAAAGAGTCTGTATAGGAAGCAACGCTGTTATAACTGCTGATTAATCTGGTATTGATGAGTTCAGTTTAACTTGTCAGAGGAGATTTTTGAGAGGTGGGGTGGGGAGCACAATGCTGTAAATCATTTTATTTTATTTTTCTAATTAAAATATAATAAGAACCATACAGTCTTCTATCTTTCTCTGCTGTGGATGTATTCTACTCATGGAATTGTAGGTATATTTAATATGTTTTTCAAAATGGTGATTTATTTGTTAGCTGATGATATTACTCAATCTATGAACCTTTCCATTTTGTAGGTACTTATTTTCATTTTGGAAAATAGGTCACTTGATTATGCTGAAATATTATCCTAAGAGTAAAATTATTCATTTTCAAAGTTAAAACTTAGAACTGCTGCTGAGCTGAGCAAAATCCCATTTCCAGGTGCTGTTGGGTTTGCAGGGACTTGCTCTTCAACACCGATGGAGGGTTTACTTAAAATGTGTCAAAGGAGAGAAAATAGGTAACGAGGAGGATTTTTTTTTCATTGTTATCTTACAAAGAAATATTTTTATCATTGTTAGTTACTATAGCAAAAGTGACATTTGAAATTTCCCTCTCCTGTTAAAAATCTCAGTGTTGCAGGGTTTCCAATGCATTTTCCATGCCCCTGTTCTCTTGTGGTAATGTAATCATAGTTAGTCGGCTGTCTGTTTTTGCCTGATGAACTTTTCCAACCCTTTCAGTTTTATTTTATTTATTCTTTCAAGGTACAAATCTCTTGAGAAAACTTGTGAAATTTCAGATGTCCAATTTGGATTCTGTAAGGAGAAATGTATTTAAATGGGGTTTTAATGGAATAAATTATGTCAAGTGATAGCATCGACTTACCTTTAATGCATTAACTTATCTTGGAAAAGGACAGAGACACCTGTCACTATTGTCTTGAATTTAATGACTGAAAATGCTATCAAAAAACCTAATTTTGAATTATTCTTAACATTTTAACTAGATTTGCTTTACAAAACTTGTGTTCTTAAAAATCTCCCAAATTATTGAATTTCAAATTTGATTTTCAGAAGGAGATGGCTTGTGAAGACCTTAATGAAGTGCCTATGTCAGTCACTTAGGAGTGTCCCCACCTAAACATCTTGTTGGCTGTAGACACAGATGTCAGTATTTTAGATCCGAAAGGGCAGGGCAGGGCTTTCCCTCCCTTGCCGGAAAGCTTCTAGCTCCACTGGTAGGACTGTAAGTTCGGTTCAGCAACATAAACAGAGAGGCCAAGCCTCCTGTCTGTCTATCCTTCAGTGTTTGTGGTGCATTGGACTTTAAAAGTGTTCTTCCCAATGTTATTTTCTTTGATGTTGCCCTAGGTCTGGGATGTAGGCATAATTAATATTGTCTCCATCCTCAAGGGAAGCAGTGGAGGCTAAAGGGCGAGGTTCAGTGGGCACCGTGTGAGAGTGTGCAGGTGGAGCTGGTGACGGTCATGGGGTGCTGGTTGGTGGGCACAATGCACTCCTGGAGGGACCTGGTGACCGAAATGTCCCTGGCACCTCCCTAGTGCCAGCACCGGCTCTGAGTCCCTAACTCTTCCCTCTCTGGCCCCGCAGGCTGTGCAGGATGTGCATCTGAGGAGAGACTCTTCCACAAACTGTTTTCTCGTTATAACCGGTTCATCCGGCCCGTGGAAAACGTTTCCGATCCTGTCACCGTGTATTTTGAAGTGGCCATCACACAGCTGGCCAACGTGGTGAGTGTCAGGCATTTGCCGCGTGTTCCTCTGGAGGCTCCGACTCCAATGTCAGAGAAGTCCCCACATTGGAGGGGACACTTTCTGCAGTAATGCTCTACTGGCTCACCTCAGATGGTGATTTTCTGGAACTGCTTTTGAGACCAGTTTATGAAACAAAGAAGTGGAGGGAAGTTGAAGGAGAATTAGAAGAGCTGTACTTACCATGGAATGGGTTGTTGTGAATACAGAACTGAGCTGCACCTAGAGTCTGGGTGGCCCACTCACTGGACAGCATTGCTTCAAATCCCTGGTTAATGAGTCCCTTCAGGTCATTGTTCTGAAGATGGTGGGAGGTAACACTGAAAGCAGAGTTTGGCTACTAGTATCAAAGTTTTTTGTTGTTTTTTTAAGCACTGCTTAAATACAAGATGATTTTTTTTTTCCTTATGTAATGGAAATCTGAAATTTTGCAGTCTAGGAGTTTAGCACCAGGTGACTTCATGATGTGAGCAATTGTGTGTTCAGTTGCCCAGGTTATGCACTGCACAACTCCAGGGCATGTCACTTACATGGGCTATGATGATTAGAGCATAAGCCAAATATGGTAACAGTGACCAAGGTTCCTTCTATCTTTTTATTTCACTGTCTTTTGCATGTGACTTCTTCCCCTAGTGTTGCCTCATGTTCCAAGATAACTGCTGTCTTTCCTCTTATCACATTCATATTTTGGGCAAGAAGCAGGAGGAAGGGAGAAAAGGGTTAAAGGGGCACATACCAGACATTTGTGACCTCTTCAGGGAGCTTTCTTAGAAGTCCTCCCCACAACTTCTGCTTTCTGTCTTCATCCCCTCTTGTTGCCAGAGAAAGTTGGGAAAATAGCTTTTTTAAACTGAAATTTTACTGTTTGAAATAATTTGATTAAACCCAGTTATAAGAAATAATAGAGAAATTCCTTATGATTTGCCCATTTTCACTGACTCATCTCTCCTCCATTTCTAAATCAGTGTCATTACAAGAACATTACGTAGGCCTGGGTTGTGGCTCAGTAGTGAGTGCTCGTCTACCATGCATGAGGTGCTGCGTTTGATCCTCAGTAACACATAAAAATAAAATAAAGACATTGTGTCCATCTAAAACTAAAAAATAAATATTTTTAAAAAACATTACATATACATAGAATATGTTGACTTGCAGCCTTGGCTCTTTTGCTTAGCGTTATCTAAGTGTTGAGTGTATCCACGGTGTGTTCCTCACTGAGTAGTGTCCCATGGTACTGATGTACCAGAGTTCATTTAGCCATTTGCTTGTTGAAGAACATTTGGGCTGATTCTAGTTCTTTGGTTTATTATGAATAAGTCTGCTATGAACATTTGTGTAAAGGTTTTTGCATAAACATGAATCTTCATATCTCTAGGATTAATACCCAGGGGTACTGCATGGCTGAGTCACATGAGCCCCCAACTAGACCTTCAAGATGCAGAGAGCTCTATGTGAAAGTACATTTGTTGCCATGCAACCTGACCTTGGTCACAAAGTCTTCTATCTTTCAGGGCAGGAGAATGTCTACTGTCCCGCCTCACAGAGATCCATAGCCAGTGTTCCTTATGGCTTGGCAGATCTGAAATGGCAAACTTCAACCCCTGGTAAAATTAGTAGCCTGCTTGGCCTTGTGGATCCATGTCTCTGAGTCTATTGCTGTGGATCCAGTATATTGGAAACTGTGACTCAAAACTTGCAATACAGCTGGAGCGTCACTTAATTCATTTTCCTCAGAAAGAAATGGATGATGGTCCCAAGGATGTGAGGTGGTATCCTGGGTCTCTGGTCTCCTCCAGGGGGGCTGTCTTATTACAGGGCACATGTTCATTGGTGGAGACTGGAACTGGATGGAGACTACGGCTTTCCAGGCGAGCTTCTGATCTAAATCGGTTGACACCTCTGAGGGTGTCCTTACCTCCACACACCAGCTCCATACTGAGGAAGTGTAGCAGGGGAGAAAGGGCTACTGCTAGAAGGGTATTATCAACTGATTTTAGCTCCCAGGACACAGTGTAGAACACTAGTTCAGAGAGGAAGCAGGCTTTGAAAGGTAGTTGAAGTTTATGCCAGTTACCTCTAAGAACTTCCTGAAACGGAGACTGCAGAGCTTGTCTTTTCTTGACTGACATCTCATGGATTTATTGACATGACTCCTGCTAACCTCTGCAGATTGCAAAGTGACCCCTATATGATCAGAATGCATTGACTTTAGGCTTGGGTAACTGTGAAACAATGCTGGCCACCGCCTGGCTAGCTCTATGTTTTCTGGGATCAATAGGAAACCATGAATGTAACTGTTTTTGCTGATCTTTTTAAACCTTTGGACTTATCATGGCTTGACAACCCATTTGAAGGAGGAAACTTGCCTCTCTAGGAAAGGCAGTAGAGAGCGTGAAATAAAAGAGTAGAAAACTGCAGAGTGCAGAGTGGCCCGGGGAACCAGGGCAGAATGGTGTCTGAGCCTCAGCGCAGCGCCCTGAGCCTCAGTGGAGTTCATTTAGTCTAGAGGGTTCTTAGGTGCCTTGGGAAGCTGGGTTGGCTGAGCAAGTCTTGGGAATCAACTGCTGGCCACTATCAACAGTCCTTGGACTACTGTGATATAAAATTACCCGTGATTCCAGATGAATCTTTGGTAACTTTCACACTGAGAGTTGGTAGCCACTTAGAAACTCATTGTACTGAGGATATTGACCTGGAATGCTTTCCCTCCAAATAGCCTCATTTAAGAATCTGCTTAGACATTACTTCCTCAGGGAAGGCTTCTTTGGCCATCTTGTATAAAATAGATATATGTGTGTGTATGGACTACTCTATGAGAGTTATCTATTCATAGGGCTTATCTTTATGTCATATTATATATATATATATATATATATATTGTGTGTGTGTGTAAATTTTACATTTCCCCAACTCCCAGCTAAGACACATGAAATCAGGACATTTTCCCATGTTACTTCTCTATTCCCAGTATTTACATAGCACATAATAGTTACTCAATAAAAATTTGTTTCATGAGTGATTGAAGGGGTGGCTTGGGTAGGGAAAGGGAATATGTAGTATGTGGGTAGCAGATTCCAGCTGGGAAACTCCATGGTGAGCTGAGGCTGATTTTTTGTTAGATGCTGAGGTGAAAGCAAGGACCTGGGTTTGGGTATCTGTATCCTCTGCAATGCTTTCTCTCCCTCTTTTCCAAGACCCTCTCTCCTCTTCTTCTTTTTTTCCTTTAATGGAGTCAGAAACCTTTATGGGTTATGGTGAGCAGAAAGACTTCAGAGAGAAGGTGAGACCTAAATCAGCATAGACCGATTAAAGCCGCATTTCCTTTAAAGACCACAGCGTTGGGACCAGTTGTGGAAATATTGCATTTCTGGCTGCATGCTAAATAAATTTTGTTGTTGTTGTTGTTTGTTTTTGATATTTATTTTTTAGTTGTAATTGGACACAATACCTTTATTTTACTTATTTTTATTTGGTGCTGAGGATCAAACCCAGGGCCTTGCACGTGCTAGGCGAGCACTCAACTGCTAAGCCACAATCCCAGCCCAATAAAAGTTTTTTAAAATATTGCTTTTTTAGTCTTCTTGCTTTCCTTCATTAGCAAGAATCACTCACATTCATCTCTCTTTAGTTGTGATTCTTGCTATAACATCTATCTCTATTAGCAAGTACATGTGAAGCTAAAAATATGATTTCTTTTTCCCAGGATGAAGTAAACCAGATCATGGAAACCAATTTGTGGCTACGTCACATATGTTTCTCTCTCTTTGAACTGTGGTCCTCACATATCCACTCAATAATGTCAGATGGATAGAACCCCCTGGCATGACCTCTTTCCATGCGCATCTTATGACAGACATTTCCTTCAGCTGACTTGATGTAGGCTTCACAGGTGCAAAAACCTAGTGACAAATGTCTCTCTGACATAGAGACTTTCTGTTTTCTGCTTTCTAATCTCCTATTTTTAACTTGGGCTTCAGATTCTGATGCTTGCTCACTCCTTGATCTCTGCTGCCCCAGGCCTGGAGAGGTCAGTAGCTGAGATCCCTACCAGCTGACTCTATCAGTTATATTGTCTCCTCACTTAAAAAAAACTTGATAACTTTACACAGATTTGGAAACAAACTCATCATCACCACAGTTTTCATATTAGAAATGGGTTACTACTAAAGTTTGACTATAAAGTTCATGGGGCATGGAAGTCCAGCCTATAACCTCAACCAGCTAACTAACAATGAATAGAAAGTCATCTAGTTAAATATTGTCCCCAAAATCAACTTAACTATCTAGCCCCCTATTCCCCATGTATATAATTTCCCAACTTTTGCTAGAATCTCTGCACTCTTCAAATAATAATTTATTTTTTTAAAAAAAAATCTGTTGATCCAACATAAGGTTAGCATTGGAAGATAGTTATTCAAAATTTTTTAAATTATTTTTATTCATTTCAGATCTGGAATGATTATAAATTGCGCTGGGATCCAATGGAATATGATGGCATTGAGACTATTCGTGTTCCATCGGATAAGATTTGGAAGCCTGACATTGTTCTCTATAACAAGTACGGGTGTCTGACAGTCATGGTCTCTTTCCCAAGCTACTGTTGGCACATGCCAATCCACAGGGAGTCGTATTGATGTGTTTGATTTATTTTACAGTGCTGTTGGTGATTTCCAAATCGAAGGCAAGACAAAAGCCCTTCTTAAATACGACGGCATGATCACCTGGACCCCACCGGCTATTTTTAAGAGTTCCTGTCCTATGGATATCACCTTCTTCCCTTTTGATCATCAAAATTGTTCCCTGAAGTTTGGTTCCTGGACATACGATAAAGCTGAAATTGATCTTCTAATCGTTGGCTCTAAAGTAGACATGAATGACTTTTGGGAAAACAGTGAATGGGAAATTGTTGATGCCTCTGGCTACAAGCATGACATAAAATACAACTGTTGCGAAGAGATATACACAGACATAACCTATTCCTTCTACATTCGGAGACTGCCAATGTTTTACACCATTAATCTGATCATCCCCTGTCTCTTTATTTCATTTCTGACCGTGTTGGTCTTTTACCTTCCTTCAGACTGTGGTGAAAAAGTGACACTTTGCATCTCAGTTCTGCTTTCCCTGACTGTGTTTTTGCTGGTCATTACAGAAACCATCCCATCCACCTCTCTTGTGATCCCTCTGGTGGGTGAGTATCTGCTGTTCACCATGATCTTTGTCACACTATCCATTGTGGTGACCGTGTTTGTGTTAAACATACACTATCGCACCCCTACAACACACACCATGCCCAAATGGGTGAAGACAGTTTTCCTCCAGCTGTTTCCACAGATCTTAATGATGAGGCGGCCTCTGGACAAGATGAAGGAAAAAAGTTCCAAGCAAAATCCCGAAGGTCTTTCAGGTAAGCCTGTCAAGGTCAGGTTTGCTAATCACAGAGAACCTAAACTTCTGAAGGAATGCTGCCACTGTCATAAGTCAAGTGGGGCAGCCACCAGCAAGAGAAGATTAAGCCATCAGCCTTCACAATGGGCAACAGAGAATTTGGAGCACTCTCCTGAAGTTGAAGATGTGATTGATAGTGTGCAATTCATAGCAGAAAATATGAAGAGCCACAATGAAACAAAGGAGGTAAATGCACATCTCCTCTCATTTAAAGACTTAGATCCTCAGTGTGAGTTGTGTTTGTAAGAGAGTCGGGCAGCTTTGTTATTATGCAGTTACTGGTGGACTGACCTAGGGGTCAGAGCAAATCTCCACCAACTGCGGTAAACCTCAAATCTCAAACTGGTTAAAATGCATGTCCAGTGCATCCTTGGTTAGTTAAACCAAGAACCCTTGCACAAGAAATGGTGACAAATTGAAGTGTGGAAAGGGAAAAGCTGCCTCCAGAGGGGAAGAACTGACCGCAGAGCTTTGCAGCCTCCAAGTGGTGGGAGAAGGTGTGTGAGCTCCAGTGTTCAGCAACTCCAATCCTGCTTGTTCTACTTGAGATGGATTGAATGAGCCTTGGGGATATTTTTAGTATCCACATATTCTGCTTCTGGTGCCCAGAGTCTAACTATAGAAGCACACAGCCTTCCCTCATTCTCTAAGGAGAGCGCTCAAGGAAATCATGCCAGTTTTCCGCTCCATAAGGATGACGAGCTAAGGGCAGCTGAAAACTTGTGCAAGCGTCTGGGTTTATTTTACATGACAGATGCTGGCATCCATATCTCTTAGTGAAAGGATATTGTGAGAGCTAATGTGCACCCCGTGGATGCGGGGGCAGATATTAGGAATGCCTGCTATCCAGGGTAAAAAGTCTAGAAAAACTCACCTTCGGGGTGGCACTTTGTAAAATCTAGGAGAGAGAGAGTTCCTGTTGACTTAATTGCCACCAGGAAGGGCTCTCAAGACACAGCTGCAGAGACTTTGCAGTTTGAAAAGCTGCTCTTCCTGCTCAGAGGGTCCTCAACAGTACCTCAGGGCTTCCACTCCCCCACTGCATGCTTCACACCCACTCCCCAGGCTTGCCATGGGGTCAGTGGTGCCAATGACAACAATTGAGCTATCTAGCAGCTGCTTCTTGGGAGTGTTCCCTGTAGTCGGGAAAAATCTTTTGTGACCTAGGGATTCCTGGCTCACCAGGTCTTCTGCATACTCTCTAGCCAGCTCCACGAGGTACCCATGGAGACACATCCACCCTCTTCAGACAAAACAAAATTTCTTTCATATTTTTGGGGGGTGAGGGGTGGTAACCAGGGATTGAACTCAGGGGCACTAGACCACTGAGCCACAACCCCAGCCCTCAAAACAAAATTTCTTATAGGTACTACTTAGAAGGCATGGGTTAACCAAAATGCCACCAACATTTGTTTTTAAAAGTACTGGGGAAATCTTTGAAAAAGAAAATGTTATGGAGCCGGGCGTGATGGCATACGCCTATAATCCCAGCAGCTTGGGAGGCTGAAGTAGGAGGATCATGAGTTCAAAGCCAGCCTCAGCAATGGTGAGGTGCTATTGGTGAGACCCTATCTCTAAATAAAAAAAATACAAAATGGGGCTGGGGAACTGGCTCAGTGGTTGAGTGCCTCTGAGCTAGTTCAATCCCCAGTACCAAAAAAAAAAACTTATGAAACAGAACATGCTTCCTTATGATTTTTATTTTTAAAAATAGCTTTGACTTTTTGTTTGTATTTCAGGTAGAAGATGACTGGAAATATGTGGCCATGGTGGTAGACAGAATATTTCTTTGGATATTTATAATTGTCTGTGTGTTTGGAACCGCGGGACTATTTCTACAGCCGCTATTTGTGAACACAGGAAAATCTTAACATGTCTTTTTCTCTTAGAAACTCACAGACTCTATATTTGTTCTGTATTCCTTACCACAGGAAAGGCCAAGTCCCCCATCTATTGAAACTGAAGACTACCTGGAAAAAAGAGGAGTATATTGCAAATTTAGGGGTTGAAATGTAGCACAGGGGAGTACATTAAGATATTTTATTACACACTAAAGCTCACAACTGGCAATACCCATAAACTAACAGTGTCAGGTCAGCTTCTCTTGTCTATACACATTGGTTTTCCAGGGACATGAATGACATGTGGTCAAACCTTGTAGTAAACAAAGCCACACTGAAAAGAGATTCTGTTGTATCTCCGCAGTTTATCCTGTTGATTAGTGTAATGACACATGAGATGTGAAATGCTGATCCTTTGACCTTGTTGACATTTGCAACACTTGTGAACTCTCACATCCTTGCTTTCTTGTGCATGTCCATGTAATATAGTTCACACGCTTCAGCATTATTTGACACACAAATTGGTTAAAGGCAATAGATAAGAGTTTATCTTAGCAGACTCTGTTTAATTAACATTTGGTTTAGTAAGCTTTCTGTTATGTGACAAAGTACCTGAGATAATCAGCTTAAATGGAGGAAAAATTTGTTTTGGCCCGTGGTTTCAGAGGTTTTAGTACATGGTCACCTGGCCCTGTTGCCTCTGGGCCTATGAGACACTACATCATGGTGGAAGCATCTTGTGGAGGAGGCCTGCTTACCTCATGGAATCTGCAAAGCAAAGAGAAAGAGAAGGGCTGAGGTTCCCAAATCTTCTTCAGGGGTATGCCCCCAGTGACGTAACTTTCTCCCTCTGGGCCCCACCACCTAAAATTCCATAATCTCCAAATAATGCTGAGGACCAAGTCTTTAACATGAGCCTTTGAAGGACATACCAGATCCAAGCCATAGCAGTGATGACCTGTTCAACTTTGAGATAGGCATTGCCAGGGTCAAAAAAAAAAAAAGAGGCTCCTTTCCCCCAAGACCTTACAGCTATTTCAGAAAAGTCAGATATACAAAGCTCTGCAGGATCAGATATTGGCGAATATCACCAGAGCAATCAAAACAGGGGGACCGGATGTGGTTGACTGGAAAAACCTGGAACAACTCCTGTTGCGTGTCAAATAAAAATGGTGTTTTTCTAGTCTTTTCTCATCAACACTTTCCATTTGTCCATTGTGCAGAGGTTGAAAATAAAGTTATTTCTTCTGTAAGAAATTATAATCTTATACTTTTTGGAGCAATTACTTTTCTTACAGGCAGAACCTTGCAAATTCTGTTTTATTCCACTTGAATTATTTCTTGTATAAATATTATCATAGCAATTTTAAAGATCTGTTTTAAAGCAGAAAATAATACATCTACTCTCACAGAGGAACGAATGCCATTTGGCTTTTTCCCTTCTATTCTTTGTCCATATGCGTAGATGATTCTATATTTCAATTTTACCTTTCAATGTCACTTCCTCAAATAATATTACCAACATGTCATTCATGATATTACACATTCTTGAAGTATCATTTTTGTGACAGCATACTCTCTGTTGGGTTGATACCCAACAGATTCTAAAAGTAGAATGATTTTACTACAACTCTGTGAATTCTTCCTTGTCTGTTTTCTATTAGAGGTACCATGTAGTATGCCAGGCAGAGGTTTTGAATCGGAATTATTCTATTTTAAATTATTTTTACTCCCTCCATCTGTGCGCTTATACCTATATTTTGTCTTCCTACAGTCAAAAGAATAAATTACAACCATTTCAGTTTAAATATTTAAATATCTTAATTGGTTTTTGTTTGAATTTCTAGAATCAGGTAACGCCTCATTTCACAAAATAGAATAGAATAGAATTAATTAGCCAAGCAGAGGAGGCTAATTTTATAGATAGAAAAAGACTGAGGAAGTCAGAGAAGGAAAAAAAAACAGATTGATCATTTCAAAGTTATTTTTCTTGTAAAGTGTAAAGCGAAGGGGCTTCCCCATTGTGAGGGCTAACACTGGCCTGTTTGGGGATTCGATTATTATTTCTCAGTCTCCTGATTTCATGAAATGTCAAGTAAGCACTTCAGTTTCAGTTGGGCCATGTGGAACTTTAGCACAAGTGACTCCATTTTGGTTTGACCTGTTGGACCTTAAGCAGAAGCTCAGTACAAACCAATGGCCTCCTATAAATCTTATTGACCACTATCTCCACAGAGTTGGTTACTCAGTGCTTTATTTTTTTACCATTAAGTCAAATCACCATTTAATTTTGCTAAAAACTTTTAAATTGTAGTAAAACTCTCACAACATAATTTACCATTTTAACTAATTTTAAGAATATAGTCCAGTGGTATTAAATTTATACCCACTGTTTTGCAACTATCACCACCATCTGTCTCTAGGACACTTGTGTCTTGTAAATCCAAACTCTGTACCTATCAAACAGTAACTCCCTGTTGTTATTGTTTTGCCCCCCGTTATTGGCAACCACCATATACTTTTCATTTCTATGGATTTCACTACTCTAGGTGATTCCTTTAAGTGGAAACAAGGATATTTATCTGTTTGTGACAGGCTTATCCATTAGCATAACATCTTCAAGGTTGACCCATTTATGGTGTGGCCTGTGCCAGGATGTCTTTTTCAGGATGAATCATATTTTGTTAAATGCACATACCACACTTTATGAATCCATCGGTGGATGCTTGAATTGCATCTACCTTTTGGCTATTGTGAATAATGTTGCTATGTACATGGGCTTAGAAATATCTCTTCAAGTCCCTGTTTTCAAATCTTTGGGGTACAAACTCCAAAGTGAAATTACTAGATAACATGTTTATTCTATTTTCAACTTTTTGAGGAAACATCATACTAATTTTTACCATAGCTGCACCATTTTATATTTCCTCCAACAGTTCACAGGTTGCCAAGTTTGGTGTATCTTTTGCCAATACTTTTTTTTAATATTTATTTTTTAGTTTTAGATGGACACAATATCTTCATTTTAGTTTTGTGTGGTGCTGAGGATCGAACCCAGTGCCTCACGCATGGCAGGCGAGCGCACTACCACTTGAGCCACATCCCAAACCCAATACTTTTTTTTAATTTTAAATTTATTTTTTGCAGTAGCCACCCTGATGGAAATGGGGTGACATCTCATTGTGGTTTTTATTTGCATTTCACTAATGATTAGTGATGCTGAGCATCTTTTCATGTGCTAATTTGCTATTTCATGTGCTTATTTTTGTATATCTGCTTTGAAAAAAATGTCTACTAAAGTCCTTTATCCATTTTTTAATTGGATTGTTTGGGGTTTCTTTTTAATTGTTGTTGTTAAATTAGATGGGTGTTTTTATATAGTCAGTAGATTAATTCCCTATCAGATATAAAGACAAGAATTTTGGGCTGGGGATATAGCTCAGTTGGTAGAGTGCTTGCCTTGCATGTACAAGGCCCTGGGTTCAATCCCCAGCACCGCAAAAAAAGAAAAAAAAAAGGAATTTTAAGAATTGCATTGTAGGAAAGTGGGAAGAATTTGCTTCCAGCCATGAGCAAGAAAACTCCATCCTGACTTCTTAATACCTGAACACTCTAATGCTTGAATATACCTGGGTTTTCCAGCCCAGGTCAGAAGTTTCTTGGAACTCCCAGAATAAACAAACCAGGAACACATTTAAAAAAGAAATGAAATAATATGTGAGAAAAGGGGAGTTAAGGCATTTGTTTAGAAGAATTATTGAAAGTTTAGATTGAAAATTTGTAAAGGGATGTGAAAGGGTAAAACATCAAAGATATTTTTGTTAGTTGAAATTTTTGCCTTTTATAATTCATTTAAAACTCTTTTATGGGGCTGAGGTTGTGGCTCAATGGTAGAGCGATAGCCTAGCGCATTCAAGGCACTGAGTCCAGTCCTCAGCACCACATAAAATAAATAAAATAAAGGTATTGTGTCTAATTTCAACTTAAAATTTAAAAAAAATAAAATTCTTTTATGATTTCAACATCAACATTCATGTGTATACATCTGTGAATGAGTGTGTTCACATACCAACGTGCACACATCAGGAAGTGTCTATGTACTTAAACTATAGAATCAATGACCTTTAGACATGTAACACAACTTGCAGATTACTTAACCCAATTCTTTTTTTTTTTTTGTACTAGAGAATGAACCCAGGGATGCTTAACCACTGAGCCACATCCCCAGTCCTTTTTTATATTTTACTTAGAGACAGAGTCTCACTGAGCTGTTTAGCACCTCACTTATCTGCTGAAGCTGGCTTTGAACTCGCAATCCTTCTGCCTCAGGCTCCTGAGTTGCTGGGATTACAGGTGTGAACCCAACTCTTTTTTAATCCTTTACTCTCAAGAGGTAAGTTGGCTTGCTCATGATCACATAGCTCAAGAGCAACAAATTCAACAGTAGAACATAATCTCCTGACTTTTAAACCTTTGCTCATGAGATGGAACCAGAAGAAAATAAGAATTCAATTGAGAGGGCTCAGGTCTTCCCTTTCCAGCCTCAAGGGACCAGAGAACATCTATTTGGGATGTCCTCAACAGCCCCAACCTTCTCCAGGGTTTAAGGTGCACCTCTTGTGTGTCATGAGAGAACAAAGCAATAGTAACAGATACTACATGTGATACATACCCATTTCTTCCCTCTTTGGCTTTGGAATTACTATCTCAATGCTTCTGTAGTACTCAGCTGCTATAGATTGTTTCTGTCCTCACACTTGTGTTAAAATTGTAACTTCCAATAATGTGGTATTAGGAGGTGGGACCTTAGGGAGGAAATTGTGTCATGAATGGATTACTGCCCTTATAAAAGAGACTTTGGAGAGCTTTCTTACCTCCACTATGTGAGAATGCAGGGAGAAGATGACCATCTACGAATCAAAAAGTGACTGGACCCTGATCAAATACCAGAGCTGATAGTCACTTGATCTTGGACTTCTAAATCTATGAGAAATAAATTTCTGTTGTTTATAAGTCATCTAGTCTGTGATATTTTTGTTATAACAGACTACACGTACATATACACTTTCTAGATGGTGTTTGGAAATGTCTAAAAGGGCATTTTTGGCTATTGCAATGAGTAGGGATGCTATTGTCACTCAGGGCCCCCTGCCTGGGGGCTAACAATAAAAATCACCCTGTATTGTGTGGATAAGCCAATGTAGAATTTTCCTTTGAAATAACCCCAAGACTCCCCTGTGAAATAATGGACCTGGCTTAAGGTCCCACATTCAACTATTACACCTTCACTGAGCACTTTCTGGTGGCAGGATTATCTATCCTGCTAGAGTAAAAAAGGATGGATCCCTCTCCACTCCTTTTTGTCACCCTGAGGGTAGAATTTTACAGATGAAGAGGACCTTCATCTATAAATCAGATATGATTATAGCACTTTTTTCATGAGGCTGTTTTTAGAAGGTTTTCTGAGCAATTGTTAATCCTTCTATTATTTCCCCTTGAATTCTGCAACCTTCTGGCCTCACTGGAACTCCTCTGGTTGCCAGGGCTCAGGCCATCCTTGTACATTCTGGTGGGCAAGTCTAGTTCTATGACAGGCTGTTCTGACTGCCCACCAGTGGTTAAACCTGCCCAGAGCTATAGAAATCTACATCAGTGGATAGATTGCTGCTCTTTTCTAGATTTCCCAAAGCTAAGATTGTGTCCATGAGTCAAACATGTTATATTACTTTTGTTTTCATAATTACCTTATTATTGACAAACTGAAAAGAAAGTCTTAATACAAAGAAGAAATACATGCCGGGTTAAACAGAAGCCATAGTCATCCTGGCTGATAAATGAATGAATTTGTTTTAACACATAATAGGAAGTGCTTCAGAGAAAGAATTTTAACACAATCAAAAGATCCAACCCAGTGGCTGGGATTGTGGCACAGTGGGAGAGCGCTTGCCTAGCATGTGTAAAGCCCTGGGTTCCATCCTCAGCACCACATAAAGATAAATAAATGAAGGTATTGTGTCCATCTACAACTAAAAAATATTTTTTAAAAAGATCCAACCCAGCATAGAATTGAAATAATGACTCTTGGGAAATCATAGTGTTCCATTGTGGCTCATTAGACACCATCTTTAAAGTGAACGAGAAATAGGTAAGAGTCTTTATAATGTAGCTATGTGCCATGACCACAGGCTGTGTACAAAATTTTATAGCAGAAAGACCAGACTATCATTTCTTTAATCCAGTAATTAATCTTATCACCAATGCATGCAATAACCAGATAGAATAAGGTACAATACAAACTCCACATTATCATCTCTGATGTATTCTTGCCAAAATTATTGAACTAGAATTATAGTTTGGAATTATAGTTTGAATTACAAGTGTCTCTTTCAGATTACAGGAAAGATAGGAGACAGAGGAACAAGCTAAATGACACCAGAGGCAAGCAAGTAGAGAAATCCCCAAAGCAAGATATTCTTGAGATCCACTCTTTTCAACAAGCCAGTACCAAATAAGTGATCAAAATAGAGTTAAGAGGCAGGACAATGTTGTTCTGACTTGAATCTTATTTTATTCTTTCCATATTTTTTATTTGTGCATTATAGTTGTATACAATGATGGAATTTGTTGTTACATACTCATATATGCACACAATTTAATGATATGATTTGGCCAGTATCATTCCCCAGCACTTGAATCCTATTTTAGACCAGTTAACTTTAAAATCAAGATTTTTTTTTAGACAGGGAAACTTAAATGTAGAATTATTGATTTTATTAACTATATTGTTATTTTAATTTTTTCTTTCTTTTTTTGCAGTATTAGGGACTGAACCCAGGGGTGTTTCCCCACCCTGCTATATCCCCAGCCCTGTTCATGTTTTATTTTAAGACAGGGTCTTGCTGAGTTGAAGAGACTGTCCTCAAATTTTAGATCCTCTTGCTTCACCCTCCTAGTTGCTGAGATTATAGTATGTACCACTGCACCTAGTTGAAATATT